CTCTCGGCTTCCTGAAAACACACCGAGCCAGCCCCGTCCGTCTCCTCCGGCAGGTGAGTCCATCCCCGTGGCCAGGACCACGGACATCCCTCGGAGGGACGGATGCTGCGGGGGTGGCGTGGGAACCGGGGCAGCCCAGGGTTGTCCCATCTCTTGGTGGATGTTTCCCACGGGTCGAATCCATCCATCCAGCACCACGCGTTCAGCTCACGTGGTGGCTCTGGTTGGGGTGGGTTTGGTGGGATCTCCAGATCCCAGTTTAGCTCGGATCTCCCAGTTTTATGGGGATGGGGATGGAGGTGGTCCTTCCTGAGCTTCCACAGGTGGGTTTGGTGCCACCGGTGAGCTGAACTCAACCAAAAACAGGTGGAGAGGAGGATCCAAGACCACCCCAAGGTCCGTGAGGGTGGAGGTCCACCAGAACCCCAACAGCATCGTGGTCACGTTGCCTCCATCCCACGCAGGGGGCAGGTGGACACCACCGAGGACCCTCTCCATGAGCCTCCACGTGGCACCGGCCGCACTCCCATGGCACCGGGGCTGATCCAGTTTGGTTTTTCTCTGCCCCAGGAATGTCTCGTGATGGGCAGGGGGCCTTTGGCGTCATCTTCATCCTCGCAGTCGGACTGCTGCTGACCACCCCGGCACCGACGCAGGCGCAGGGGACAGGCAACGGAGGCGATGAGCGTGAGTCCAATCGGTGGCCAAGGAGGGGGGGACGGGGACACCGTGGGTGGTTTGTGGGCACCTTGGAGGGGAATGTGGCCGATGGGATGGGGTGGGATGGGATGAGGAGATACTTTCTCTTGGCTCGTGGGAATTTTGCCGGCGGGAAGGTTTGGGCAATGACCTGGAGTTTCGAAACCTGTTTTGGTTTCCAACCAACCAACCCCCTCAACGTGGAGAAATGGCCCCGAAAGAGCCGCAGAAGAGAAATTCCCACGGCTGCTTGGAGGTCCTGGGATCTCCAGGAGAACTTTTCTCCTCCTCTGGAAGTTCGTACGGGGATTTGTGTTACGGCTGCAAAAAATGGGAGATGAAAAGAGTCAACGGGGGTGAAGAAAAGCGAGGAGAGACTTCATCTTGATGGGAACATCTTCTTCCTTTCTTCTGGCCTCCAAAATGATTCTCTGCTGAAGGACAACCCCAATGGATGGGTCTTGGGGTGAAAAGACCAATCCCATGATTTCTGGCTGTTGGATGTGAAGCCCTCGGATCTGACCTGATCTCGGTGTTTTTTAACCCAAATCTGTGTCTCCAGAGCTGAATCCGGGTCCTGCAGAGAAGGACCAAGGTCACATCCAGACACTGGCCGGATAATTCACCGCGGGACCTTCCAAGAACTGTTTTCTGAGGAGCAGCTTTATCATTTTGGGATGGAGACACCATCACCTTGGTTGGAGTTTTCTGGTTGCCGGCAACCTCTGGAAATCCCAGGGGATGGATTCTACCATGGGGCAGGGGCCACCGTCACCGGCGTCTCCACCGATTGACCTCGGTTGATGGACATCCCTCCACCACGGGAGCTCGGGGAAGCTGCTGAGATGCCTTCAAGGAGTTTGGTGGAATCTACACCCGCTGGTTGGTTTCTAAAAGCTCAAGGATGGGCCTCGGGATGACCAAGGATGTTTCTCCGATGAGGGTTTGCGGGAAGATGGTTCCCACCCTTTGATTTTTGGCAGCGCTGCCGGGACCGGATAGTGGTAAATTCCAAGCGACGTGAAACTCGGGCGTCTCCCATTGCCACCCATCCCAGGCTGTAATCGCCACCAGCACAAACCAGTCCCGCTGGTAAATTCCACTGATGTCCCAACGTTCGGTGGGAAGGCGGCTGCAGATGCCACCGACCGCAGCCACCTCGCACCCGCTGGGATCCGTACAGGTCTTCGCCAAGGCGGTCAACGCTTCCAGGTGGCAACTTCTCCCCAAAATAGCCAAAAACGTCTTGGTTGCCCCAGACCACGGCACCCAACACCCGTGAGGACACCTTGGACAACCAGGACTTGATGTCTCCCCGTTGAAATTCCAACTACTGTGTGTTTTGGGGGTAGGAGGTCTTTTTCTTAAAAAAAATCCACTTTTTTTTTTTGGTGATGATTCTCCTTTTTTTTTTGGTAAATCTTGTCTCCTCCCACCTGGACACAACATCAAGGGATCTTCTCCAGCGGCCTTGGTAGAGGTGCCACCTGAGATACCCAAAGCATAGAGCCATAGATGGAGATCAGGAGGGACACCAGGAGCACGTTGTAACTCCATCGTGTGGACACCAAAGTGGAGCTCCATGTGGTCATGGCCTCAAGGTGGTCACAGCCTCCAAGTGGTCATGGTCTCAAGGTGGTCACGGCCTCAAGGTGGTCACGGTCTCAAGGTGGTCATGGCCTCCAGATGGTCATGGCCTCAAGGTGGTCACAGTCTCCAGATGGTCATGGCCTCCAGATGGTCACGGCTTCCAGATGGTCACGGCTTCCAGATGGTCATGGCCTCCAGATGGTCGTAGCCTCTGGTCATGGCCTCAAGGTGGTCACGGTCTCAAGGTGGTCACGGTCTCAAGGTGGTCGTGGCCTTCAGAGGGTCATGGCCTCCAGATGGTCATGGCCTCAAGGTGGTCACGGTCTCAAGGTGGTCATGGCCTTCAGAGGGCCATGGCCTCCAGATGGTCACGGCCTCAAGGTGGTCACGGTCTCAAGGTGGTCATGGTCTTAAGGTGGTCATGGCCTCCAGATGGTCATGGCCTGAAGGTGGCCACTCTTCAACCCTCATTAATCATCAATATCCTGACCTCACCTTGTAGCCACCCCACATTGGATGGGGTGGGGTTGCTCCTCAGAATGGTCCTTCTCTCCAAAACCATCAACGCTGGTCAACTCCAGCAGCCACCCACCTGCTGTGGCCACCTCAAGCCACGGGAGATGCCTCCAGAACCCTGAAAGCTTGGGAGATCCATGTCACGAGTGGAGGCTTCGAGCGGTGAGACCCAGAAACGACCAAAGACCCCCCAAACCAAACTGGTGGCCCTTCTTCTTTCTTCTCAATCAACCACGTGGGACCGAGACATCTCAGCTCCAGAGCGCCGTAAGGACTCACCTGCCCGAAAAATCTCCTCGTGTCATTTCTCCCCGCGTCGGGATTTCTTCTACTTGGGTTGATGCAACCAACCATCTCCTAACCCGTCCCTAACGAGGGTCACATGGGCCATCCAGGAGCTCTTTGAGCAGGTCCTACAAGCTTCCCCACCAACCGAGAAAGACGAAATCAGCTCTTTTAGGGGCGCGTCACCTGCGTCATCTTCCTTTCGGAGTCCAATCTTGGGCTGGGAGGATGGAGGTGGACCGGATGCCCCTCCCGGATTCCCATGGCGAAACCGTCGGAGATAAGTGGCCCCTTTGGTGACTTCCTGATGGGAGGTGATAGCCCAGGCCAGCTCATGGGGCCAGCCCGGCGTGACAAACCAGTCCCAGGGGGAGGGGGGGGGTCTCTTTGTGGGAGCTTCCACCCCAGTTCTCTGACTGGGATGGGTGGTGAGGTCATGGAGTTAATGGGAGTCACCAAACGGAACCAGGAGAAAATATCTTCAAGGACTGGCTCGATCTTGGCTACGAAGGGTTGGATTTCAACTGCTCCCTGAATCTTCTCATTTCCATCAAAAAAACCCCCAAAAACCTAAAAAAAACCCCAAAAACATAAACAAAAAAAACCCCAGCGGGCTGAGAGGTGACTTAGCAAATCAAAAACTAATGTTTTAAAGATGATTTTGAGCCTTCTGATGGGATTTTAAGGCTGAAAAATAGAGATTTTTTTTTCCCCTTTTCTCTATCATGTCACTCTTTTTCTTTTATGATTTCTTTTTTGCAACTTCTCGCCTTTTTTTCACCCCGCCCCCCCCAACCCGGCAGGTCTCTTCGGAAGAACTTCGCGGCCAGTTTTTAGCCACGCGCCGAGCTCACGGTGCCCTTTGGTTCCTCTGTGTTACAGTGCCGGAGGAGGACGAGTCGCGCATCATCGGTGGGAGACCTTGTTCCATCAACCAACGACCTTTCCAAGTTGCCCTCATCAAGAGGGGGCAGATCTTGTGCGGAGGAAGCTTGATAGACGCCCAATGGGTCCTGACGGCCGCCCACTGCAAGCAGCCAATCGGGTAAGTCGGTGATGGATCCACCGGGGGAGCCCAGGGAAGCTGCTGAGATGCCTTCAAGGAGTTGGGTGGAATCTAAACCCACTGGTTGGTCCACGCTCATGTGTCCCATGACTTCCCACCAACCAACGTCTCCTTTCTCAAGACCCCTCAATGACCCAGGGTGAGAGGTGGGTCCTGGGGGTTGGTGGCTCCAGATGTCAGCAGCCAGATGTTGGGCATTTTTGGAGGATGACGTCTCCAAAACGTGGTATCCGGAGAGAGATGTCCCCAAATGTTGGCATTTATAGAGTTTGTTGCCTCCAGATGTGAACATCTCCAGATGTTGGTGTCCAAAAAGTTCGTAGCACTGAGCCTGGTAGCTCCAGAGGTTGGTAGCTCCAAAGGTTGGGGGCTCCAGAGGTTGGTAGCTCCAGAGGTGGGAACATCCAGAGGTATCCAGAGGTTGGGATGTCCAGATATTTGTATCTCCAGAGTCTGGTGTCCCATGGCCAGTAGCTCTAGAAGCTGATGTTCCAGGCGTACGTCCAGATGTTGGTGTCCAGGTGCATCTCCAGATGTTGGTGTCCAGGTGGTGGTCCCTCTAGAGGCCACTGAAGGGACTGGAGGAGCTGGAAAAAAATAAAAAAGGAGAAGAAAAGTCAAGAAGTTGGGTTGAAGGCAACAAACGTTGCTGAGATGCTTCAGGTGGAACTCCTGAAGCTGGGAAGATGGGATCAAGAAGTTGAAGTCAAGACACGCGACAGTTTCTTGTGGAGCTGGGAGATGCCCCAGGGGACCTGAGCCACCGAAAAGCTCTTGGAGAAGAGCTGGCTCATGGCTCCTCAAGGCATCAGCATCTTCTCCTGGTCTCCACCCCATGGGACGTGGGAGAAGGTGGTTCCAGGCCCATGTGGTCCATGTGGAGAAGCTTCAACGGCCAAATCTTGATCATCTCGTTGAAGGACAACCTTGGAGCCTTTGGGTGTCTCCTCTGGAGGGACCAGCACTGATCTCTTGACCTTCTCCCTGGGCAGGGCCCTCAAGGTGTTGATCGGGACGGACACGTTACGGGACGGGACGGGGCAGGTGAGGTCCATCTCCAAGCTCCGGGTCCACCCGGCCTACAACCCCCAGAAGAACGACAATGACTTCATGCTCCTGAAGCTGAACAAACCCGTCCAGTTCAACAACAACATCAAGAAGATCCGATTGGCCACCAGTTGTCCCACGGATGGGATGAAGTGCAGCGTCTCCGGCTGGGGAACGACCAAGTCTCCTGGAGGTACTGGCTGGTGGTGGAGACCTCAGTGGGAGAGGTGGGATGGGCTGGAGAGACAACTGGGCAGGGGAGAGGGTTCACCAAGGAGACCAGGGTGGGAAAATGGGATGAGGACTTCCCTGGTGGCACCTCAACTCTGTCCAGTGAGAAGTTCCCCATGGAGAACATCTTCCAGTTGGGTTGTCCCTCAGGGGGTTGGGTTGCATGTTGGGTTCCTCCAACCCAAGGTGTAAGAACTGGGAAGGGCCACGGGACATGGATGGGTCCATGCAAGGTTTGGGGTCCCACCAAGGACGTAGATGGGTCCCACCAAGGACATGGATGGGTCCATGCAAGGTTTGGGGTCCCACCAAGGATGTGGATGGGTCCATGCAAGGTCTGGGATCCCACCAAGGAGGTGGATGGGTCCATGCAAGGTCTGGGATCCCACCAAGGATGTGGATGGGTCCACATGAGTTTGGGGTCCCACCAATGACCTTCTGCTTGAGCCATGGATCTGGGGAGGGGTCATGGCACATGGACAGGTCCATGCAAGGTTTGGGGTCCCACCAAGGACCTTCTGCTTGAGCCATGGATCTCGGGATGGGTCATGGCATGTGGACAGGACCATGCAAGTTTTGGGGTCCCACCAAGGATGTAGATTGGGCCATCCAAGGTTTGGGGTCCCACCAAGGACCTTCTGCTTGAGCCATGGATCTGGGGAGGGGTCATGGCATGTGGACAGGTCCATACAAATTTTGGGTTCCCACCAAGGATGTAGATGGGTCCATCCAAGGTTTGGGGTCCCACCAAGGACGTGGATGGGTCTATCCAAGGTTTGGGGTCCCACCAAGGAGGTGGATGGGTCCATCGAAGGTTTGGGGTCCCACCAAGGACGTGGA